ATACATCCCTCCCCTCAAAGACCTTAACGCTCACCATGAGCGGCTTGGGGCGGGGAAAATCATCCGTCACTGACGGTGGCATCACAGACGCGAATGATGCAGACATCTTCTGTTGCAAGTGCTCTGGCAACGCGTGTTCGCAACCTGAAAACGCATCTAGACGATCACCGATTGCCTCGGGACCTTGCGCTACAAGATGTTGCACGCCCTCAGGGCCAAGCAAGGAAATTAGCTTGTTAAGCCCGTCCTGCATGCCCTGGGGCAAAGAGGAGAAATCCTCCATTCCAACAGAGGATCAGTCTAAACGACTCAGTTGTAGATTGACTACAAGCGCTACCAAGTGCAGCGGAGCTGCCGTAGCTTAGCGCTTGAGGAAGCGTAATTTAGGCCACCGACCTTTCTTTCAATACTTAGAACAAGTACGAGTATGCGGATCGCAATCCGCTTACTACAAGAGAAATTTTTGCCTTACCCAAGATTAATTAGCTCTTCCATTTAAAATCAAAGAACTGATTTTAATTAATATTTATCTGCGGCAAAGCCGCCCAACTTTAAATGTTTAGATTTCCCAAAATATATTTAATATATATATAGTAAAATCTAAATACATGCATAATTACTGGCTACCTAGCCCCGTATCGTATTTTTGTTTGAGTGTGGTCACACCATGCACATCTCGTGTGACACACACCCCAAAATTCAAAATATAAAACTGATTTTTTATTAATTTTTTTATCCTTATTTTAAAAAATCTTCCTAAATATACTAAATATATATAGAAAATCTAAATGCATGCATAACTACTGACTACTTAGCCACATACCGTATTCATGTTTAGGTGCAGTCACACCATGCACATCTCGTGCGACACACACTTCTGTTACCAGGGTACGTGTAACCCCGTTACACTGCGCGTGCAGTGACTGTTGATACTATGTCATTTGTACTTATACCGATTGTCGGCTGTAATGATTGAGCATGGCATTGAGTTGATACTAGGCACGATATCAGAGCGAATCTCGAAAAAGAAGGAGGTTAGTCTCACGCAATGCGAAATATAACTTCGAGGTGAAGTAGAAGCCGGGAAAGCTGAACGTTTTGGCTGATGCGTTGTCACGCAGACTAGACTATGAGCTTGCTCATGTTACATCTGTAACGTCGTCTGTGACGAATTTGATCCGCACCGCGTATGCGGATGATGGGATGTGTGTAGCGTTGCTACGGGCTCTAGGGAGCAAGGAGTTTGGAAACTCGGACAGAAAATTGTTATAAAGATTGCGTGCACGATTGCACCGACATTCTTTAGATAACGGCTTGCTATATTATAGCACCGATTCAACTGATACACCACGAATTGGGGTTCCTCATGACGGGGATTTGAAATATCGCATCTTCTATGAGGCTCACGACATGCCACTCAGTGGTCATCTCGGTCGTGAGAAAACGTACAACTCTGTGAGTCACCACTATTGGTGGCCTAAGTTGTACAAATGGACGAGCACCTATGTGCGCACTTGTGAGACGTGCCAACGGGTGAAACCCACTCCAAATGCGGCTACGCCGCTGCGCCGCTGGCCAGCTTACCAGTTTCCACTGGATGCTGGCAGTCCATGAGTTTGGACTTTGTGTTTGGCCTGCCGAAGGATTTGGCGGGCAAAACGGGTGTCGTGGTATTCGTCGACCGGTTGAGCAAGATGGCTCATTTGGCAGCGGTGCCAGAAACCATCGACGGAGTCAGTACAGCAACGCTGTTCGTGGATCACAAGGACTCCCAGACACGATTGTCTCTGATAGAGACCCCCGTTTCACGGGAAAACTTTGGTCGACTATCGATATGTCGACAGCGGATCATCCACAGACCGATGGTCAAACCGAAAGGGTGAATCGCG